ACCGCTTTGTAGTAAAGTTTGAAGTTAGGGAGGTTGATTCCTCCCATTTTCTTTTTCCCAATAATTGCTTTAGCTATTCGAGGGGGTTTATTGTTCCATATAAATTTCAGGAGTGTTTGCTCCATTTATTTGAAGAATGTCGTGGGTATCCTTATAGGAATTGCATTGAATTTGTACAGTGCTTTTGGTAGTATTGCCATTTTGACAATGTTAAGTCTCCCGACCCATGAGCAGGGGATGTCTTTCCATTTCCTCATGTCCTCTTTTATTTCCTGAAGTAGCGTTTTGTAGTTTTCTTTGTACAGATCCTTTACTTCCTTAGTTAAGCTGATTCCTAGGTACTTGATTTTCTGGGGCACAATTGTGAACGGGATTGATTTTTTCATATAGCTTTCCTCTCTCTCACTGTTTGTGTATAGGAAAGCCATGGACTTTTTGGTATTGATTTTATAGCCTGCAACTTTACTATACAAGTCTATTGTTTCTAGGAGTTTTTTGGTGGAGTTTATTGGGTTCTCTAAGTATAGTATCATATCATCTGCGAATAGTGAGAGCTTGATTTCTTCCTTTCCTACCTGAATGCCCTTAATATCTTTTTCTTGCCTAATTGCTATTGCAAGTACTTCCAGTACTATATTGAACAGCAGTGGAGAGAGTGGGCATCCTTGTCTCGTCCCTGATCTTAGAGGGAAGGCTCTCAGTTTTTCCCCATTGAGGATGATGCTTGCTGTAGGCTTGTGGTAGATGGCTTTAACTATGCTGAGGAAAGTCCCCTCTATACCCATTTTGGCTAGGGTTTTCATCATAAAGGGGTGCTGGATCTTGTCAAATGCTTTCTCTGCATCTATTGATATGATCATATGCTTTTTGTCTTTTCTTTTGTTGATATGATGGATTATGTTGATTGATTTCCGAATGTTAAACCATCCTTGCATCCCTGGGATGAATCCTACTTGGTCATGGTGTATGATCTTTTTGATGAGTAGCTGGATTCTATTTGCTAGTAGTTTGTTGAGGATCTTTGCATCTGTGTTCATCAGGGATATCGGCCTGTAGTTCTCTTTCTTTGTTTTATCTCTGTCTGCTTTTGGTATCAGTGTGATATTTGCTTCATAGAAACTGTTCGGAAGTGGATTTGATATTTCAATTTCATGGAAAAGCTTAAAGAGGATTGGGAGTAAGTCTTCTTTAAAGATTTGGAAGAATTCACTGGTGAATCCATCCGGGCCAGGGCTTTTGTGCTTGGGGAGACTTTTTATTACCATTTCAATTTCCTTGATGGTGATAGGTCTGTTCAGGTATTCCAGGTCTTCTTGGTTCAGCCTTGGGAGTCTGTAGGAGTCTAGGAATTTATCCATTTCCTCGAGGTTTTGATGTTCCGTGGCATAAAGCTTTTCAAAGTACTCCCTGAGGATCCTTTGAATTTCTGTAGTTTCTGTTGTAATGACCCCCTTTTCATTTCTGATTTGGTTTATTAGGGTTTTCTCTCTCCCTTTCTTTGTGAGTTTTGCTAGGGGCTTATCGATTTTGTTAATTTTCTCAAAGAACCAGCTCTTGGTTTCATTGATTTTTCGGATTGTTTTCTGGGTTTCCATCTCGTTAATCTCTGCTCTGAGTTTTATTATTTCCTTCCTCCTGTAAGGGTTGTGCTCCTTTTGTTGTTCCTTCTCCAAGTTCTTAAGCTGTGAGGTTAGTTTATTTATGTGGGCTCGCTCCTCCTTTCTGAGGAATGCTTGTAGGGCTATAAAATTTCCTCTTAAGACCTCTTTTGCTGTGTCCCATAAGTTTTGGTAACTCGTGTCCTCATTTTCATTTGTTTCTAGGAATCTTTTGATTTCCTCTTTAATTTCCTGTCTAAGCCACTCGTTGTTTAATAGCGCACTGTTTAATTTCCATGTGTTTAATTTAGTTTTCTGTTTTTGTGTGTGATTTACTTCTAATTTCAGCGCATTATGGTCTGAGAAGATTGTTGATACAATCTCTATCTTCTTAATTTTATGGAGGCATGTTTTGTGGCTCAGCATGTGGTCTATCTTGGAGAACGTTCCATGTACGCTTGAGAAGAATGTGTATTCAGCATTTTGTGGATGAAGTGTCCTGTATATATCTACTAAGTCCCTTTCTTCCATTGTTTCCCTCAGATGAAGTATGTCCTTGCTAAGCTTGAGTCTGGTTGATCTATCAAGAGGTGACAAAGCGGTGTTTAAGTCTCCCACTAGTATTGTGTTGCTATTGATGTCTTTTTCCAAATATATGAGTAATTGTTTTAAGTACTTTGCTGGTCTCTCATTAGGTGCATATACATTTATTATTGTAAGTTCTTCCTGTTGTACAGATCCTTTGGTCAATAGTAAATGGCCTTCACTGTCTCTTATGACCTTCTTCACTCTGAAATCGATGTGGTCTGATATTAGGATAGCTACCCCAGCTTTTTTCTGGGAGCTGTTTGCCTGTAGGATTGTTTTCCAGCCTTTGACTCTGAGTCTGTGTTTGCTTTGACTATTGAGATGTGTTTCTTGCAGGCAGCAGAATGTTGGGTTCAATTTTCTAATCCATCCTGCCACTCTATGTCTTTTAATTGGTGCGTTTAGCCCATTGACATTGAGAGAGATTATTGTTATGGGATTTTGTCCCATTGTTTCGTTGAAATTTGGTGTATTTGAGAGGCCTGTCTTGCCTTAAAGTAGCCCATTTAGTTGTACTTGTAACCATGGTTTTGAGTCTATGAAGTTCCTGAGCTGTTGTTTGTCTGTGAAACGGTGTGTTGTTCCTTCTATTATGAATGAGAGTCTCGCTGGGTAAAGTATTTTTGGAGAAGCATTTATTTCATTGAGTTTTTTCACTATGTCCCACCACTGTTTTTGGGCCTTGAGGGTTTCATCAGAAAAATCAGCTGTGAATTTTAAGGATGCTCCTTTGTAAGAGATTTCTTTCTTCGATCTTGCTGCTTTCAGAATTTTGTCTCTGTCTAAGGTTTTGGTCATTTTGATCAAGATGTGTCTTGGGTTATTTTTATTCGGATTTCTTCTAGCCGGTACCCTTCGGGCCTCCTGGATGTGGTCACAAGTTTTCTTCAGCTCTGGAAACGTTGTAGCAATGATTTCTTTGACAGTTTCTTCTTCATCAAGGTTTTCTTCCTGTCCCTCTGGGACTCCAATAATTCTTATGTTACCCCTCTTGGCTTCATCACGATCTTCTCTTGCCATCTGTTCTTGAACTGTGAGTCTCTTTTCCATTTTCTGCTCTTTTCTGACAAGACTCTGAACTTGATCTTCGAGCTCACTGATTCTGTTCTCAGCCGCTGTTACTCTGCTGCTGAGGCCTTCCACTGTGGTTTTCAATTCGGCTACCAGGTTTTTCAGGTCCGACATTTCCAATTGCATTTTCCTCATTTCTGCCTTCAAATCCTCTTGTCTTTTATTGGCATTGGTTTCCATTGTTTCTTTTAGTTCCCTAAGCATCCTGAATAGCTCCATTCTGAATTCCTTGTCAGAGAGGTTGTCTAACGCTATAGTACTGTTGGTGTCTTCTGGGCTAGCCTCGTGAATAATCAAGTTTGGTGGGCTTTTGCGTTGCTTTACCATTGTGACCAGTGTGGTTTGGTCCTTCACACTCGCTGCTACTGTTCTGGTTGAGTGAGGAGAGACTGCCAGGAGCCGTTCAGCTTTGTTGCTGCTAGATGCGCCTCTTCTACCTTTCTGAGTCTAACCTTCTTCTGAATCAGGCGTTATTCTTTGTTTTATAACTGACATTGAGTGAAACTTTTGGAGGTGTTGCTATTTACTACTGAGCTTGTATAGCTATTTTCCAACAGAACTTTTGTTGGAAATGGAGTAGGCGAGTGGGATTTTGTTGAATTGTAGTAGAAGAGGTGAGAAATTTTGGTTGGTATTAGGTAACAAGTTGATGAAAGGGATGAAAGGATGAAGGTCCAAATTGCTTGGAGTGAGTGATATACCTGCGGCCGCGTAAGCGGCTGGCCCGGAAGCAGGCCACGCCCACTTTTAGGAGGCCACGCCCCTTTCTTTGAGGCCACGCCCCTAGCCAGTCCCAGGCCAATCCCTCCCAGGATCCTGGGATTCGCGCTGTCCTCCTGCGGGGCTCGCTCGGAGGGCGGCGCGTGTGCGGTCAGGGGTGGGGCTCCGCTGGGCTCATCCAACCCACCTGGATTCGGGGGCGGGTGGGCTGCTGTGTGCGCCGGTCCGGAGCTGGACGCATGCTGGGGCTGGGGGCTGGGGTCCGCACTGTCCTCTGGCAGTGGGGCTCGCTCCGCGGCCAAGATTTTTTATTTTTTATTCCATCTTTAATTTGTTTTCACCACATAATGTTTGACAACAATTTCTTCTGGTGATATTCACACTTTGGTGGAGGTCACTTATAGAAAGAACTTCCACTGTAATACATTCCACTTTTATGGCTATGTCTCACTACAATATAAAAAAAAGTCTCAATATAACATTCAAAACAAATACAGTTGACTCTGTCAGCATCAAATTCAACAGGTGGGACAAGAAATGTGAGCAGCCTAGAAAGTGTACTCTTCACCACAGGTACCTTACACTCTGGTGTCATGTGTTTCCAAGTAGTAAACAGAAAGTTATACTTGTTAAGTGGATATTAAAGGAAATTACTTTAAATGTAAATTTATGTCCCTATTGTGTTTTTTTCCTGCCTTTGAAGTATTCTCTAGGATATAAAGTTTTAGATAATATCATTTTAAATCTTAAGTTTATAAAAAGCAGTGTGATCTTTTTGATGTTCCTCAAGCTTGGAGAAAAGTGAAAAAATAATACTTCATGGTTCTTTGAAATTAAACAATATTGATTCTGTGTTATGATGTTTTAATTGAATTATATTGGTCAGCGTCATAAGTATTCTTAGAGTTATTAAGACACCTAAGCTAGTTTTAAATCTTGGTCATTTTACTTTATGACTAACTGTATCAGGAAAAAAATGTTAATAGCTATTATTAAATTTATTTGTGTTGTTTTATCTTATAGTTGCCAGAGAAAATCATAATGAACTACTATGAGAAATATAAACCTCGGATGAATGAACTAGAAGCTTTTAATATGGTAAATTTCATAATTAAAGATATTAAATTGGATTTGTTTCTAGATTTCACTAGGATCCTATTGAATTTTTTAGTGGGGCCAACTGATATGTGTTAGAAAAACCATTTGAATCATTTTGTGATTTGAACTATATTAATGTCAGTAGTATAATAAAGAGAACACATGGTAGATTTCTCTTAAAGTGTGTTATAAATGCACAGAATGACAGTTTAGATTTCATGAACAGAGATTTTTCTCAGCACTTTTATTTCACACATATTCTTTTTAATGAATCTTATTCTTGGCACCCCTTTGAAAATTTTCTAGTATATATGTATAGTTGCTTTTAGGTTCTACTTAGATTCTCAAAGGTATCCAGGGAACATTCTTTTCCAATTATTATTATTAAAATACTTTTGATCTCTTAGTATTCCTATTCTGAAGATGTACAATCACTATTGAGATTTGCCCTAATATAGATGCCTGTAGATAAATTTTCTTAAGCATAATGGTTGGGTTTTTGAAAAAAAAATTGAGCTTATCTTTTTCTTTGTACTATCACTCTCAGACTCTTATTTTTTTCTTTTAGTTGAAGGTTGTTCTGGCTCCTTGTATAGAAACATTGATTCTTCTAGATCGACTTTGCTACCTGAAAGAGCAGGTAAATTATGTCATTCTCAAACACATAGCAAATATCTTTATTAAATCACATAATTTGGATTCAATTATATCTAGCCTAAGTTTCTTTGACATAAAACTAGTATGATCATTTTGTTTGTTATGTTTTCCAAATTTAAATAATCATTCTGTCTCTTTTTAAACATAAACATATGTGCAGCAGATGTTTTCAGCAAAATCGTTATAATAAAGTTTAAGTTCTCTAATTGTGTGGTAATTATTATACAGTAGTCAGAGAACTAACTTTCACATATGATATATGAAATAGCTAAAATTAATACCAAATACATAGGTTATCATATACACTTTTCATTTTTTAAGAATTTACATTTAATTTGATTTTGGATGTTTGGAACATATGCACTTTAGAACAAAAACTTCTAATCACTGAAAATTTCCAGTTCTCGGTCTGTTTTCTCTACGTGGAATTTAAAAGTTGCACTTCTGTTATTTTAAGGAAAATATGTTTTGAATATTCTTCTCAGAGCTGTGATCAGAATATATTTTGTTTACATTAAATACCAATTTCTAATTACATTAATTCATGGTACAGCTTTATTTTTAATATATATATAAACATTTATTTTAACAGTTTTACTTTGTCATATAGAGAGCTTTACTTTTTCTCAATAGTCTAATTGGAATAAATGTATTTAATAAATGTTTGCTTATTATCTTGATTTGCATTTGTTTCTGGAGAAAAGTAGTCTTAGAATCTCTAGATAATGATATACTTTCCTAAATTACCATTAACTCAAAATCACCAGAAAGCTTTGATTCCCAAGTTGATAAGTGCCAAAATTAGGCATATTTTACTCATCATTTCTCTTTTCAAAGCAATTTTCATTGACCTACAAAGCATATGTAGGCATAGTAGTATGTAAAAAAATTTATAGGGATAGAAATTATATATTTTTAAATATTTAAGTAAAATATTATTATCATAAAGTAATCAGTACTTGTTAGACATTTGAGATGAACAATAATAAAACATAAAAGTACCAATAATTATATCTTTCAACATTAATTTTTGCATTTTTGGTATGTTTTCTAGTTTTCTATCACTGTGTCATATGTATGTGTATAGGCATTATTTATGCTTTAATTGAAGTTGAAATCAAATTGCAAATGAAATTTTTTTTATTTCTTTCATTTCTTTATAATTTTCCATTTCATTATTATACCATAGAAGCTGAGTAATATTTTATCATATAATTATTTTAGTACATCCCATTTGTTATTAACACTTTTGTTTTTAACAATCAGAGCAAAGAGGGACTGGAGAAATAGTATAATGGAGAAATAGTATAGAAATAGTATAAGGCACTTATCTTTCATAGAGCTGAACCGAGTTCAGCCCCTGGCATCCCATCCTGTCTCCCAGAGCTCTTCAGGAATGATCCCTGAGCACAGAGCCAGGAGCAGGCTCTAAGCACTGCCACCTGTGCTCCCACACACACACCAAAACAGGAAGAAACAAAACAAAACTTAAAAGCAATCACAGCAAAGAATAACCTTATAGTTCAATAGTGTTTTTTATTACAATGTTTAGTTTAGTCATCTATAATTTTTGTGTTTAATAATGGCTGTACATTTAAACTACATGTTAATTTACAGGAAGATATTGCATGGTCTGCACTTGTGAAGTTGTTTGATCCTGTGAAATCTCCTAGATGTTATGCAGTTGTTGCTCTGAAGAAGCAGCATTGATTTCGCTTGATGCAAGATTTTAGATGGCTCTGTTTGGGGAAAATATTGCTATTCTTTTCTCAACATTTATGTCATTCTATGTAGATACTGAAATTTTTGCTATATATTTTAAATAAAAAAGAATTTAAAACGTTGTGATCCATTTTTTTAAATTATCAAGCATACATAAATAAAATAAGAACCTGTGGTAATATGATAAAGCAATATACTGAGTTAGTATAACAAAAAGTCATCATAATCATGTATACTATATGCCCTTAGGTAAAATTCCCTTATTAGTGAGATATTTGGATATTCTTCAGGCTGTTTATCTTACTAAATTGAAGGGTTCATATTTATTGGAATTATTTGTGCTCTGGAAAACACTAATTACAGTAAAGTAACTGAGCTAGCTAGCTAGCTCTCTGCCCAGTGTGATTCAGGGACCTTTTATGGAAGAAAACTTGAAGTGTCTGATTTCACAAAGATCTGAACAGCTGGGAAGAAGTTTACTTCTCAGTAGGACTGTATAAAATTTCCCCAAGTAAAAAATGTAATTTCTTAAATTTTGGAAATTAACCACAGGTAAGTGTAAATTTTTTGTCTTGGATTGTGATACTAATAATTGAGGATGTAGCCTCAAGCTGAATAGTGATATATTGTTGGGAAAATGTGCCATTTAAAAAAAAAACTTTTTTTATTATGAAAAATTTCAATCAATAGGAGTATAATAAACCACTATGTATTAATTACAGAATTGAACAGTTACTACATTTTACCCAATACTCCATCATTACATACATCATTGTGGCCATGCACAAACATTACACAACACCCATATCCACCCTTGTTGGGGAATTTCAAAGCAAATCTTCCATAGTTCACTACTTCTCATAAATACTCTGGTATAAATTTCTAACTTGTTATGGTTTTTCCATAATTCCAGTTATAACTGTTCTCATTCTCATTTTCCTGATTGGTTCAAAAATTCTTTTATATCAATTTCTTCAGGATAAAAGACAGGGATCACTCACTTGCATTTGGTTGATATATCTCTTTACATTTTTTTTATTGTGTTCTCATCTTGTTTGCTATGTGAGTAGCTGTCTCCGAAGGAACAGAAAATATTTCAAGCCTACTTATTTCCTTCCATAATTTTACCTTCTATGAAAAAATTTTTTGTTTTTTTTTTAATTAAGAAAGTGATTTAGAGAAAGAAATATGAGGATGGAAGCAGAAGTTGGAGCCATGCTCTTGCTTTCTTTGAGACACAAAGGAACTAAAGGGAAGGAAATGTATGGAAGGATAGATGAAAAATGAAGACCACCCCCGCAAGTTGGCAGTCTATGGATATAAAAGATATTTTGAACCACAGAGCCAGAGAAATCATGTCCCTGTATAAAGAAGTGAAGGGGCTCTAGCCTCAGGAGACTGCAGCCTCAAGAATTCCTTCCATAGGAAATGAAGCCTTGTAAACTAAGGGTCTTGGCTACTCAGAGGAAATCAACTGCAGTGTTTCCATGGGACAGGGGAACAGCTCTGACCCAGAAGCTATTATACTGAACTAGGCAGTTTCCCATTTTGAAGATCTCAGAACTGCTTATAGTAAAGTGCATATAAAAAATGAAGTACCTCTGAGACCTGACATGGATTTCTAGTCAGTTGGCAGCAGAATGCTCAGTCATATAGCTACCAAGAAATTTGGCCAGAAATATAGTGAAAAAAATGTGAAACAGGGCCTTACTACTTCAACCTTCAGAAAAGACCATCTCTAGTTGCCATCTTGATTATAGTCTTGTCTTGTGAGCCTTTGAGACAAGTTAGTCATGCCCAGATTGCTGACCCAGAGAAACTGTGAGATAGTAAAGTTCATATGACCTCAGATGGGCTGATGCATAAGAGAATATCAGCATTGTTGGAAGCCTAAGATTCCACTGAGATGAGAATTATTTAACCATGGAAGAAAAACTGGCAATTTTTAAGAGACTGGAAGAAGAGAATTATAAAATTTGTTTCTCATTCTTCCTTCTAGGAGAAAGTAATTGGATGTTTTAGAAAGAAAAATAACCGTGTGGTAAATCAAATTCTAGACTGATACTAAGTATTTCCAGGCTTTCTGTAAGGGCCAGTCACAAAAGGCATGAGCTAGCATGATACTGTATGAAAAGCACCCAGTTGGGTAGAGGAGGAAGTGTTCTCTACAGGAAGAGTGTCACTTCAGAAAAGAAATAAGGAGTATTTTGTTTTTTATTTTTAATAAGGAGTAACAGAAGGAAATCTTAAAACAGACACATGAAAGTCTGTGAGTGCAGAGAAAGAAGGAACAATAACAGGAATGGTAAATGCTTGACAAAATGGAGATCTTTGAATGGAGCACTGTTTTCACTTGGGGAAGAAAGAAAGGACAATTCCTTAATCCCTCATGCTACAATTGGAGCACTCCTCATCAAAATCCTCACTTTCAATGAAAAACAGCTCAGTGAATACACTAGAAAGACAAAAATATCTTTAAGTAACATGTGATTGAGAGTTTCTCCTCAACTATTTTCTCTGACAATTGTCTTTTCCTCCACTCCCAGTCCTCTACCTTCTACCTACTACCTGCTCCTTACCCCTCCATCTCCTACCCTTCACTTACTACTCTCTGTATCTGTCTCTTTCATAATCTCATTCAGGTTGCTCACTGATCATTAAAATCAATTCACCACTATACAGGGGGAAAAAAGATCATGATTTACAAAATTATTCATAGTTTAATTTTAGACATACTATGTTCCAGCACCAGTTCTACCACAATTCTCAACTTCCCAAGTTGTCAAATGTCCACAAGTTCTCTGTGTTCCCTTCCACCCCTAGCCTACCTCCTTGACAGGCATATTTAAGTTTATTGTGGTTTGGATCTCCTGCTTCAGTGTTATTGATTTAGTGGTTTTGATATGTTATTATACCACTTTTCTATACCACCAGTGTACCTGAAATCTTTAATCCCTGCCTTCCAACTCCCCTTTCTTCCCATCTGCATCTTCTTTTTTTTTTTTTTATTTATTTATTGAATCACTGTGGGAAAGGTTACAAAGCTTTCAGGTTTATGTCTCAGCCATGCAAACATCAAACACATTTCCCTTTACCAACACTTATTTTCTCCCATGAAGAACCCCAATAAAACCCCACCCCCCACCCCTCCCCGTCCCTGTGAGGCAGATGAATTCTAGTTAACACTCTATCCGCTTTGATTAGATTGTTTCAATAAAAGATTCACCACTATTATTTAGAGTTTACCCCCCCCCCCCAAATCAGACATGCTGAAAAAGCATTGTGAAGTGATTTGCTTTCTACAGCTGGGTTCAAGAATTAAATGTTGGTTTTGGATTTCTGCTATTTTACCTATTGACCCTGGAAGTATTTCTACTGAAAGTCAGATAGTTAAGAAATTGGTTTCTGTGTTCTGGAGTCGTGGCCGTGCTGGAGAGCCGCTCGTGGGGGGCAACTGGTGGCCTCGGTAGGGCGTGAAGGGCGGAGCAAAACGCCCCCCTTCCCATGAGGTTTTAGTCGCCCCCACACTCCCGGCTCATACCTGCTGTCCACAAGGCTCCCATGTGGCCGCCATCTTTCTTTCCAGAGAGGAGAGGGCGAATGGGGCAACACCCTTTCCCCTCCGGCAGACTTGATGGGCTGGATCAACGCATAGTCCGTTCACTTTTCTGCTCCAAGCTGCTGGGTTCTGCATTAAGTCCTTGTGCTTCTGGGGCCATGGCCGTGCTGGAGAGCCGCTCGCGGGGGGCGACTGGTGACCTCGGTAGGGCGTGAAGGACGGACCGGAACGCCCCCCTTCCCATGAGGTTTTAGTCGCCCCCACACTCCCGGCTCATACCTGCTGTCCACAAGGCTCCCATGTGGCCGCCATCTTTCTTTCCAGAGAGGAGAGGGCGAATGGGGCAACACCCTTTCCCCTCCGGCAGACTTGATGGCCTGGATCAATGCATAGTCCGTTCACTTTTCTGCTCCAAGCTGCTGGGTTCTGCATTAAGTCCTTGTGCTTCTGGGGCCGTGGCTGTGCTGGAGAGCCGCTCGTGGGGGGCAACTGGTGACCTCGGTAGGGCGTGAAGGATGGACCGGAACGCCCCCCTTCCCATGAAGTTTTAGTCGCCCCCACACCCCCGGCTCATACCTGCTGTCCACAAGGCTCCCATGTGGCCGCCATCTTTCTTTCCAGAGGGAGGAGGGCGGAAGGGAGCAACACCCTTTCCCCTCTGGGCAGAAATGATTGCCTGGATTAACGCATAGTCCTTTCACTTTTCTGCTCCAAGCTGCTGGGTTCTGCATTAAGCCCTTGTGCTTCTGGGGCTGTGGCCGTGCTGGAGAGCCGCTCGTGGGGGGCAACTGGTGACCTCGGTAGGGCGTGAAGGACGGACCGGAACGCCCCCCTTCCCATGATGTTTTAGTCGCCCCCACACCCCCGGCTCATACCTGCTGTCCACAAGGCTCCCATGTGGCCGCCATCCTTCTTTCCAGAGAAGAGAGGGCGAATGGGGCAACACCCTTTCCCCTCCGGCAGACTTGATGGCCTGGATTAACGCATAGTCCTATCACTTTTCTGCTCTGAGCTGCTGGGTTCTGCATTAAGTCCTTGTGTTTCTGGGGCTGTGGCCGTGCTCCAAACTTAACTCTGACTTTCAGGGAGAAAGATTGGGTGGTTTACTTCTCATTGATCACTTTGTATATAGAGAGATGTCGCGCGGCCGCATAAGCGGCCGCGCGGTTTTGAGAAAAAGTCCTCGTTCCCGCATACTCGAGCTGTGTTTGTAGAGGCTTCTGGTCACCGGGGTTCCATCTGGGGGAGGCGGGATGCGGCACCTACTCCATCTGGAACTTGCGGGTGAACTCGGCTCTTTTTGGAACCTGTTTTTTCTTTTTTTTTTTTCCTCCGGGATCCCGCACCCTCCATGTGTTCTTTCTCTTATCCCCATCTGCATCTTCTTTCTCTACCTTTTTGTTTTCTTATCCTCTCTGGCTTTTTCTTCCTATGTTCTGGGATCAAGGTTGATTTCATTTGTTTCATATATATATATATATATGCTGGGAGCACTCTCCACACACTTGGATGAGCCTCACGCATAAAAGAACTGACAGAGGAACCCAGGTGT